CATGATGATGCTTCCTACTCCGTCGATTAATAAGGCATACGTTATGATCATTTCTGAGGAAAGTCGAAGATCTCTGAGTTTTTCTTCTTACAGTTCTGAAATTGCTGAAGGGACAACTTTGTTTAGTGGCAAAGGAAACTCTAATGTAGGCACTAACTATCAGGGGAACAATTCCTCTTACAAGGGCAGAAGCAGAAGAAGTGATCTTTACTGTGATCATTGCCATCTTACAGGTCACACAAAAGCAGTTTGTTACAAGTTAATTGGATATCCTCCAGATTATAAATTCAAGAAGAAAGCAGGGTCATACCTCAAGGACAATGACACTAGCAAGGGCAATCCTAATGCAGGTAGTCATACTGATAGTAGTGATAGTGGAAATCAGTTTGGATGTCCATCTACCAATTTTGCAGGATCTTCTCACATGTCCAAAGGTTCTACTGATGCATTTGGTGCTATTCCTCAATTTACTGAGTTAAAATACAACCAAATCTTTACAATGCTTAATTCAGAAAATTTTGAAGCTGCTCATGTAGCCTTGACAGCAGGTATGATCCCTTGTACTACTATCACTGCATATGATGTTAAGCGGATAGTGGATTCTGGTTCTTCTAATCATATGGTTAGCTCAGTTGCTCTTTTATCCCACAATACAACAGTAAACAAGAATGGTCTAGGAAAATTTCATCTGCCTAGTGGTAATGTAGTTAATGTAACTCACACAGGGTCATCATGTCTCTTTCCTGGTCAAGAGATAATCAATGTCATGCATATTCCTGAGTTCAAATACAATTTGTTGTCTGTTTCTCAACTGAGGTCAGGCTAGTGTACCATTGAAGTTTCGGGGTTATTGTGTGACCACTGCTGTATACATAATTAATAGATTGCCTTCTGCCATCATTCAAGATAAATCTTCTTTTGAGAAACTTCACAGCCACCCATCTTTTCTAGCTCACATGAAAGTATTTGGCTGTTTGGGATATGTAACTCAGGTTAGAAAGGTGGACAAATTCTCTCCAAGAGTTATTCCTGCAGTATTTCTTGGCTATTCAGTGTCTAAAAAAGGTTATACTATGTATGACTTGGAGTCCAAAGTATTTTTGACAAGTAGGGATGTCTTATTTTAGGAAAATTCTTTTCCTTTTAAGACAATTTCCACTTCTCCTTCTCATTTGTTTTCTCTGAAGGAAGATGAACTTCAGGCCTCACATATACAGGATAATAATCAGTTATCCTTCAGTGTTCCTGCTCCTTCTTCTACTGCATATGTTCCTTCTATGGATGTTCCTTCTATGGGTGATGTTTCTGCCTCTTAACCTTCAGCAGTACAATCTCTAGTAGTACCTGTTGTTAGAAGATCTTCCAGGTCTACTAAGCCGCCTATGTGAATGCATGACTATGTCTCTAAAAGCAAAGGAAGTGCCAACTGTTGTTATCCAGTATCTGATGTGGTCAGTTATGATCATTTATCACCTGTCTTTAGAGCTGCTTTAGCATCCTATTCTATCATCAAAGAACCCACTTCTTATGCTGAGGCTATTAAAGATCCCAATTGGGTTGCTGCTACGCAATCTGAAATTAAAGCATTACAGGATAATCACACTTGGAGTTTAGTTGAATTACTAGCTTGAAAGAAACCTATTGGGTGTAAATGGGTGTTCAAGGTTAAACACACATCTTCCGGAGCTGTGGAAAGGTACAAGGCTCGACTTGTGGCAAAGGGTTATAGCCAACAAGAGGGGTTAGATTACACTGAGACCTTCTCTCCAGTTTCTAAGATGGTTACTGTCAGGTCGGTTGTGGCTGTGGTAGCAGCTAAACATTGGTCTATTTTTCATATGGATGTTCATAATGCTTTTCTTCAAGGGGATTTAGTGGAGGAGGTGTATTTAGAGGTTCCTTCTGGTTTTGCCAGACAGGAGGGGAAGCATGTTGTCTGCAAATTACATAAGTCTCTTTATGGACTCAAACAGGCACCTAGTCAATGGAATAAGAAACTCACAGATGCATTGGTACAACTTGGCTTCTCACAAAGTAATTTTGACTATTCTTTATTCACCAAGACAGTTCAAGGAGAGCTGGTAATTGTCTTAGTTTATGTGGATGATTTGTTGGTAACAGGAAGCAATACAGACTTGATTCTACAAACAAGGAATGACTTAAAGCTAAAGTTCAAAATGAAAGATCTTGGAGAATTGAAGTTTTTTCTAGGAATTGAATTTGCTAGATAACAAAAGGGAATAGTGATGAGCCAAAGGAAGTATGCATTGGAACTAATTAGTGAGTTCGGATTACGTGGCACTAAACCAGTTAACACACCTTTGGAAACAAATCTGAAGCTTACATCAGTTGACTGTGATGATTTTATAACTAAGGAAGCAGGTTCTACAAATGAAGATACAATACTTGTTTATCCTACTCAATATCAACGGCTAGTAGGAAAGTTATTATATCTTACTATGACTAGAATTGACATTGCATATGTAGTGCAAGTGCTAAGTCAATTCATGCATAGTCCCAAACAATCTCACAAGAATGTTGCCTTAAGAGTAGTGAAATATATGAAGAATGCTCCAGGTCTTGGTCTTCTAATGCCCTCAGATAGCTCTGAAAAATTTGTGGCATATTGTGATTCTGACTGGGGTGGTTTCTTACAGAGTAGAAGGTCAGTCACAGGATACTTAGTAAATTTTGGCAATGTTGTAGTGTCCTGGAAGTCAAAGAAACAAGAAACATTAGCTAGAAGCTCTGCTGAAGCAAAGTTTAGAAGTATGGCTTCGGTTGTGGCTGAAGTGACTTGGTTGATTGGTTTGTATAAAGAGCTGGGAATCAGTGTTGAGGTTCTCATATATCTTTATTGCGACAGCAAAGCTGCTATTCAGATTGCAGCAAATCCCGTCTTTCATGAAAGAACTAAGCACATTGACATTGATTGTCATTTTGTGAGAGACAAGATTATACAAGGTATCATCAAGACTCATTATGTTTCCACTAAGGAACAGCAGGCTGATGTATTAACCAAGAGTCTTGGCAGGCAACAACATGAACACTTAATGACCAAACTGAGTTTGAAGGATGTATTCAAATCATCAGTTTGAGGGAGGATGTTGAATAAAATATATTTTTTCATTAATTAGTATTTTGAGTTAGTTGTATTCTGTTAGTATTTTCAGTTAGTTATATTGTTAGAAAGTTGGTTAGAGTTAGTTAGAGTTTGTTACTAAGATGTATAAATACAATATGTACAGATCATTTTGATATCAAGTGGAATATACTCAAACATTATATTTCTTCCTGTTATCTTCTCTCATCTTGAAGGTTCTCACATGGTGAAGATCAAGGAACTTCACATTTGAATTATTTTGTTTAAGGTTAAAGGGCAATTTTGTATATTTGACATAACTTTAATTTAGGACCACAAAATTCAAAAGTATTCTTTATTTACTTAAACTCCATGTCAAGTCAAACCAGGTCATTCTTTATGAAACGGAGGGAGTATAATCTTTGAGATACATCGATATTCAATTTGGCAACTTTTGTTTTATTGTGAACATTAAAATTATTGTTGCCCTCCCTTTATGGAATGGTGTCTGCTTTTTTATTTTATTTTATTTTTTTATCAATATTTCATCATGTTAATCAACATATGTGACATGAGAACTAAATTTCTTTTTCAGAATTATGCCAAGTAGTGCTGATAAATTGTAAACAAATTGAAATATTGATAGTCAAGTACTTGGTGTATGAAAAAAATGCTTCGGAGAATTGATCAAAATATATTAAGGACCAAAATAAAACAAATTGACCTTGCTTATTTGGAGGATAGAAACAACTTCTTATAGGCCTCACTTAAAGCCACATTTGTGGTTCTAAAACCACCATGAATAATTAAGTTCAAACCACTCACATATTTAGAATCATCACTTGCCAAATACAACACTCCATTTTCTACATCTTGTTCATGTAATAAAACTCCTTCCAAATTTCCCCCTTCACCAAACCATTTCTTTGCCATTTCTCTCTAAGTTATTCCGAGCGCGTTCAACATAAATTGGAATTTTTGACCAAAATGAGCTATTTTAAAAATCAATTTACCTAATTAATACGTTTTTATTTTTTTTTACAAAAATAGTATAAATGTACTTTATTGTAACGTTTTAGACTTTATTTGATTTAAAAAAAATTAACGCCGTTTACTTAATAAATGTTACTGGCAGTAACATTTTTATGTTAAAACGTGACATGACCCTTTTCTTTCACTAAACGACGTCACTTCTTATTAACTTAAAATTTAAGGTTATCTGCTAAGCAATTCTAATTTCCAAGATATAGGCTAAACCCTTTCACCCCTTTCCCTCTTTCACTATAAAAAAAATTGGCAGCCGCCATTCACTTTCTAAGCTCCATAATTCCATCTTCGATCGGTAATTTGTGGACGAAGAGGAGGCGTGAAAGAACAAAAACACAGGAAGACAATGAATGGATTAAAATTTCATTTCGTGGATAAACGGTAGCGATAGTTTTCCAAATCAATTTTGGGGATTTCTTGTTAAATTGCGGCTATCAATCTTCTGGAAAGCTTGGAATCAAGTTAACTTCCTGTGTTAGAGCCTTGAGGTATGTTTTTCCCCCCTTACAAACTAGTAGATGGAATGCTTGAATTTTAGAATTTCTATCTTCTCGTATTTATATCGTTTTGGTTATATAGAATAATCACTCACAAAATTCTAATCTGCATGTTCTGTTTTTTATTTTGAATTCATGCATCTTGTTGATGCAAAGATAAACAATTAAAAGAAAAACAAAGAAAAAAGATGTTCGTGTGAAAATGGAAGGAAGACTATAATAGGTTGACCTGCAATGCGCTTCTACTAAAATTGAGTTTATTTTTCAATATTTTAATAAAACATTTGGTGACACTACATTACTTTGATTTGGTTGTTATATTTTGGACTAACAATTATATTTAATGTACTTTCATATGGATTTTTCAGTTTAATAGATACGTATATGACTGGTTATAGTGCATATCGATTGGATCCCGGTCCACTTGAACCATTGGTACTAACTCAACAACTTACTCATAGGTCACGGGATATATGGAATGGAAGTGTTAATATGATTTTAAATACGAGGAGGTGTGATGGAAAATTTTGGGACCTCGTAAAGAAATATCTCATTCATCCACGAGTCTTAGAAATGATTGAATTATCGGGACTATATGGTGTTTATAGATCAAATCGATCTTCTATTGATCGTAGCTTGATCACTTCACTAGTAGAGAGATGGCATCCCGAGACTCATACATTTCACTTTAGAACGGGTGAGGCGACAATCACCTTGCAAGATGTAGAAGTGTTGTATGGTTTACCTGTGAATTGTGATCCAGTACTTGGTGATGAGTCGATAAGGACCATAGGGGATTGGCAAAATATTTGTCAAAGATTGTTATGTTTTATTCCATGTCCTCAAGACTTCAACCGTAGTAGCCTCAAGGTAACTGCACTTAATGCGCATATGCTCGAGCAACTACAGTTACCTGACTTGACAACACAAGAAATGATCGATCAAATGGCTAGATGTTACATGTTTTGGATGATTGCTGGTATGATGATGGCAGATACATCTGGCAACTATCTAAAGCTTATGTACCTTCCTATGCTCGAGGATCTCAATGTAGTTAGCTCTTACAGTTGGGGTAGTGCGACCTTAGCGTGCTTGTATCGCTTTCTCTGTAAGGCCTCACAGAGTAACCAAAATGAGATAGCTGGCTTTCTACCATTGCTTCAGGTATACTTAATAATTACATCAATTCATTATAAATATTTCTTCTAGTTTATAATATCATAATTATATATTTATATATTATGTTTAGATATGGGCATGGGAGAGAGTAACCGTCCTCAGACCTCAGGTAAAGCACAAAGGGACATCGAAAATAATTTTCTTGCTTGTTTACCTAGGGGTCCACGTGCTACTAGATGGTTTGCACATTTTAGTTGGACTGATACCACTAAGCATGTGTTGAAAGTTTTTAGGGATGCACTTGATTCCATGACAGAAGATCAGGTATGATGTTATACTGTTTTTATTTAAAAAATTATGTATATATTGTAGTTGAAACTCATGTACTTTTCTTTATGTACTTTATTTGTAAACCATATTCGGATGACTTAATTGAGAGTCTTCCTGATTATTGTCGAATTGAACGAGACATATGGCGTGTAAGAGCTCCAATTTTTTGTTGGGATATCGTTGAGGTTCACTTGCCTGATCGAGTTATGAGACAATTTGGATTAAAACAAACGATACCAACTCCATTTCTATTTGACGCCACACATTTTCACCATGATTGTAGGGGCAGACGAAATACAAATTGGAACTTGGAGCATGCACAATGGTTGCCTCTTTGGAACCAACGACTTCAATATGTTTGTGATGCTCCGGTCAATCGTGAATTACTTCGATATGACGACCCTTACCTTATTTGGTTTAGACGCATTACTCGTCTTGTTATTGGTAATCCTACTCAGCGTCCTCAACAACAAGAAGGTTATGTGCGCAATTCAACGACATATGAAACAATGGTATGTATTAGATTTAGTGTGTTTGTGATTTATCTTTTGAGGATAATATTGTTTCTTCTCGAAAAATGTGACTTGGAAAATTGTTACCTATGCTTTTTCTTAAAAAATATAAAATAAGTGCTTTAGTTTGATCTTTGTGTAGGTGCGGCATATTCATTCCATGGTTGATAGAGCAAAAGCCCTTGGTGATCAGCCATCAATAGAGGATTTATACATATTTCGTGCAATGGTCCGAAATGAAGGAGAAAAGTGCTTGACATATGTGCACGAGGCTGCTAGGATTAATGTACAAGCCGATTATAGAAGAGATGAGGTACACGATGATCATTTACATCATCCGGTTCGTAGGCGAGGAAAAGGTGGTGTTGGCGGTAGGAGGGCTCGTGCTGTTGAGAAAGGACGAGCACCTATTGAAATGGATGAATCAGTCTCCGAAGATGATCACACAACTTGTGATTTTTGTTCCATTTCAAGGGGCCAAACTCAAGAATTCACTCTCGGGGCATCAGGTATGACATATCAACCAACAAATACTGATATTGTTCCATACACGGCATCACAAATATTAAGGAATTCTACTCTTTCATCACTTGAGAATGTATTTGGTGGTTCTCGACCTCAACATATTGAGAATGCCCCCAACTTTAATTCATCACCTGGGCTGCCAATGACCATTGAGACCCCTGGTGTTGTTAATCATTTAGAGGACTCCAACAATGAAGTGGAGAATGCAAATGAATGTGGTGAACCATCAGCGAAGGAGAAGCGTAGGATTTTTCCTAAGCGTTGTGGGACTGGTACTATTAACATCTTTATTTTATTTTTTTGACATAAATGCTCCTCTGTTTAGTCGAAAAACTGAAAATTATTCTTGTTTGTCAGGGAGTCACTATCTTTACCAGCATGGCAGAAAAAAAAAGTAACGAGAAACAAAGAACTGTAATTGAGAGGTTTCAGGTATCCAAATTTGGTACTCCTTGTTAAATTATTGTTTTTTCCATGTTTTGGAGTATGAGGAAATTTAGTGTTTTGTGTGTGTCTAAGGAATCAATCATATTTTCTTACAATGACAGTTCTCTTTTGGTTTTGAAACATTAATTACAGTCTTGTCTTTGCAAATTGATTTTCTTTGAGAAGTTCAGGCTTGTTATCAATCTGGAAAAAAAACAAAAGACACCAACTTTTCTTGAATCTGAAGGGACAGTGATTCTGGATGTTTGAGTTTTTTTAAGCTTCTGAGATGGTGAAAGGTAGATAAAAAGTTGGGGTTTTTTTAATGAGTTGTTGAGATGATTTGTTCATTTGGTGAAGTTGAGTCACAAAGATGTCTTTTTGTCTGTCTTCTAAAAGGATTAGTTGAAACAGTGATATGTATCATGCTTGTTTAGTTACTCTGCAAAGACTTGTTCCTTTGACTCTCCCCTTCTGCTTTGACACATCGGAAATATAAGCTTCTGGGTTCTTTGCTGAAACCAAGTCTTTCTTTGAATCATCCTCTGAGTCCCTGTTCTTACATTTGTCACGAATCATCTCTGGCATTTTACTGCTTGAACTCCATCTAGACTTTTCAACAACATGGCAGAAGGTCTGGTTCTCGTCATCGAGTGCATCATCTTGTATAATTTTTTTGGAAGATACATCTGATTCAACCTCACTTGTGTTCCTTGTATTTTCATCCTTCATACCTGTCAAACATCCCATACAGAAAATAAAGACAAGACTTCGTACTTGTGTTCCTTGTATTTGCAAGTTTTATCCACTTGTTTTTTATGTGTTTATATTCAATGCACATAGCTCCATAATGACTTCATATAACAACATTTTCACGTCTTTTTTATAATTTTTTTTGTTCTTTCGACAAAATCTTTGGTCAGTGACATATTGACATACACTGCAGATGGAATCTAAAGGATATACTAAAAATTTCATGGGAAAGATGAAAAGTTTAATTAGTTACACCCTCTGCATATATTTGAAGCAGTTGAATTGCTGCTTCTTATATTATAAATAGGCATGCATAATATATAAATATATCGTTTGACTTAATTTTAGTTGATATTTATATTCTTTAACTTTGAGATTCTTGGTGAATGTAACTCATCAAAGTTTTCTTAATCATTTTTTCTTAGGTTGATGCAGCTTGTTGATATTCTGGATAACCCTTGGTGAATAGTAGAGATATTTTGTGAAGAATGAAGCTACTAGTAATTATTTTGTAAAGCAACATGATCTATGAATACATGAATGTTTCAATTATTTTCTATTTAGTTTGTGTTTTTCAAGTATTCCATAATGTAACTTCAAGTTTGTGAAAAGTGATAGATAACTTTATGCACTAATGATTGAAATATGAAATTTTGTTCGGAAATCACCAAGGTTGGCAGCTTGGGAATCACCAAGGTTGGCAACAAATATGAAATTTTGAATTATTTGAGTATTAGTAATGTGAGAATTTTTAAGTTAAGTTAGTTTTTTCCTCTAAGATTCTAAGCTTATGTAGTAGATAACTTTATGCACTAATAATTGAAAGGAAATTAATATTAATGGAAATTTGGAAATTAACATTAATAATTTTCCTTTATTAGCAATCTGGAAAAATTCACATTACATTAGATAACATAAAGAAAATTAACACCATTAGACATTGACCCACAATTATTCACTTAAATTTAGTTACGATTGGGACATTGACGCCTATCATGTCCTGTCTGCCTGCATAATCCACAAGCTCGCTCATACACTGTAGAACTACGATCAATTTCATTATGTATTCTAGTTGTCCTTGTCCGATTAGGACGACGATAGAATTCATTACTTGTCATTGTAAAACTTGGAGATGGCCAATATGACTTATGACCAATTGGTGAGAATGACCCAGAATATGTTGCAACATAATTCTCTATTGTGAAATGCTCGCTAACAAAATTTCTAGCTAGCCCTCCCATTCTATCAGTTACCTTCATGACATGTGAACACGGGAAGTGCAGATTAACCCATTTTTCACAATCACATTTTCTTTCATTCAGTGAAACACAATGTGGATTACCACCGGTACCATCAACTTGTATAGATCTAACCTCGTATACTCCTGTGGGTATATTCCAATAAAAAACAAAGTGCCTCTTTGAACTTTCATAATTCTTCTCCCACTTTATTTTGAACCTCCCGATCCATAATTCATTTTGCTCTGCAAGTTGGTGTGCTATTTGAGACCTACGGGTATACCGTTCAATAGTTTGCTCCAATGAAAGTCTAATCATAGCAGCGACAGGCAAACCTCGTGCTTTTTTCAACACTCCATTGAATGACTCTGAAAGATTTGTTGTCAACACTCCCCATCTTTTTCCATCATCATGGCTAACAGTCCATTTATCCAAGGGAATTTCCATGAGGTATGCATATGCTTCGATATTTTCTTCTTTAATTTGCCACATCATGGACTCAAAATTCCTTACTTGATGGGCTGAAGCAGCCCTCCACATCAATCTGCTGAGGTCCTTGTTTGGAAATTTAGATTGAAAGTTGCTCTTAAGATGTCTTATGCAAAACCGATGGAAGACTCGAGGCTCTTGAAATCGCCGCAACTCCTGCAAACTAGTCAAGATTCCTTTTGCCCTATCAGATATAACACATACATTTTGTCTACTTTTTATCACATGTGCACTCAAATTTCTAAAAAACCAGTTTCATGCCTCTTTTGATTCTTTGTCTACAATAGCAAACGCTAAAGGGAGAATGTTATCATTTCCATCAATTCCAACAGCAATTAATAATTTGATCTCATATTTTCCATAAATATGAGTTCTATCTACTGAAATAACTGGGCGACATGTTTGGAATCCATCAATGCATGGCTTGAAAGCCCAAAATACAAATTTAAAAGTTTTTACCTCCGATGAACTCATAGACTCTTCGTGTTTCCATTCCACAACTGTTCCATGGTTAAAGTGTTGAAAAGCTACAAAAAATTTAGGTAGGTCACTAAATGATTTCTCAAAGTCACCATATACCAATTCAAAAGCGCGTTGACGTCCAAGCCATGCTTTTCTATATGTCACTTGGTGACCAAAATTTTCATGAACCTTTGAAATGACATCTACCACCAAGAACTTAGGATTTTTTCTAATTTGATTTAGAAGTAGTGATGCAATCAAATTGGTATTTAGGTTGGCATGACCGCTAGAAAGCCCCTCAGTCTCACATCTATGGTTTTCAACATATTTTCCTATCTTCCAAAGTTTATCTCCAACTTGTCGTCCTCGAAGAAACCACATGCAACCCAATAAATTATAAAACTTACATCTCACAACCCATAGACTTTTGGTAGATGTTATCACCTTGAACTCCTTATTTTTGTGCAAACTCCAAATCGTTATAGCCATTTTCAACTTTTCTTTACTACTAAAAAGCATACCTTTTTTTAAATCTTTTTTTGCTTGCTCAGAACAAACGGAACGACATTTCATCTCAGATTCACATGTAAACATAAAAATGTCTTCCTC